TAAATAATCATTAACGGATATTATCATTGTGATATTTTTGCATTATGTCAAATATTAAGAATATAGTATCTAGGGTCTGCAAATTGGAGGAGAGAGTTATAGGTGATAATGTTCTGACTTTGAATATGCAGTTATCTCCCTTTAACCCTTTCTCTAGACCTTCTTTGTTGTTGTGCTGCTTGTGCCTTTTCACCAGTACTTTCCTTTGGTGTGGCACAAGCCAATTTTCATTCTCAAAATGTGGCCCAGAGACAAAAAAAATTTGGGAACAACAAAGATAACGACAATAGTTTGAATGTAAATAATGATAACTTCTCATTCCAGAAATTCAGACAAAAAAAAAGGATGAGAATGTTCATTTAAATAACTCAGACATATTTCATTAAGACGGATTAATATTTCTTTCCAAACTGATTTTTTTCATAGGTTCTACTTGCAGTTGTTAGGTGGCTTTAGTTCAAAAGCAGCAAGAATTAGTCAAGGAATAACTTGGAGATGTTTGTCATAGATTGATTAATTTTCACTTCAAAACTGATTTTTGCTATAGGTTCTGCTTACAATTTGAGTTACTTTTATTCAAAGGGCACAGTAAAAGGTGAAAGATGTTTTTAACATCTTTGTATATATTTTTATTTCCAATTTTTGCTGATATAGCTATGTTGAATTATCATCTGAACTTAACCCCTTTTCAGATGGGCTGGTCATTTCTGGCTGGGCAAACATGTGCATTTGTTTACAACCAAATCTTATGGTACCATTTGCCTATGGAAGAGCACACTATTGAATCAGTCGAAGCAACTTAGGTGACTAATGTAACAGTGGTGTGCTTTCAAATTAGTTGTTTGTTTTCTGACTCTCATCAATAGATGATTGAATTTCAATGTCATGACAAGCAAATATAGACTTAGACCATTCTTGACTTTGGGGATTTCTTAAATAAATCAAACTGTGTTCCAAAATATAATTTCAACGAAACTACAACATAAAACACACATATCACTGTCTCTAGTAATTATGCTCATGCAAATATGTGTATGCACAAAAGATGAGTATCATCAGCCATGTACTCAATTGTGAAACCAGAATAACATATATCATATTTTTATTACTTCAAAGTTCCCAAGAAAATTAAATTTCAGCATAAGGAGTTAATATACCACTAAACAAACAAACAAACAAACAGTTCATTTTTAATATATGTTCCTTAGAGTATTTCTTGAATAGTAATGATGGACAATTACCTCACAGATGAGGAAGAGAAGACTTGAAAAAACAGAGATAGGTTTCTACAGAAGGATGCCAAGAATACCATGGACTGAATATGTGAGCAATGAGGAAGGTTTAAGGAAAATGTAAATAAAATGAACACTTACACTTAGAATCAAAAAGAGATAGTTGAAATTTCTAGGACACATAAAGAGAGCTTGGAGAATTTGATACTCACAGAAAATATTGACTGCAACAGGGACAGCGAGAAACAGCAAATAACATACATACAATTATTATTTTATATTATTTTTATACAAAAATTATTCTCAGTACCTTTCTATAATAAAATCATTTTTACAGTAGAATCATTTTCCAATCTTTTTTTAATAATTTAACCCAAGCAAGGCAATAAAGCTACTAATATGCAAGGGGTTACTAAGTGTGGAAGAATATGGGAAAAAGTAAACCATATTAATTTGGTTTGGTTGTTTTTGTTCAGTATCTGTAGTGTAGTATTACTGACTAACAAGGAAGTAGTATGCACTCAACTGCATTATGGGTAATAGCTGTAACTATTTATAGTCTTTGTGACTTCATATGTAAATGAGTCACTTCATCTCCCTGTACTGAAGAGGTTTTATCTCCTTATTTCCCCTGCTACTTCTTATGGGAGCTTTTGTCCCCTCACTATCTTTCTCCCTCTCCCTAAGATATAGGAGATCTTGACCTGTTTCTTTTTCCATAGGAGTCTTCCTCCAATGATTGTCTTTATTCATCTTTAGAGTCTATATTACTCTCAATTTCACTATTTAGTTTGTCTTGCCCTGACAACTTACCAGTTAGTCATTTACCGATATCCCCCATTTTGAAGGCCATTTAAATTTAATTTGGATCAAATTTCTTTTGATTGACTGGTTTTCCAATCCTAATTTCTTAAATTCACAGTATTTAGCAGTCTGTTTTAAAGGAAGAACATATTCAATAACTGATTCATTCACTTTTTGAGAAATATTCATAAACTTAGCTCTCTCTGTATTCACTAGTTTTTTCTTGAGTGTTATGTTTTTCAGTATTAGTTGACTTATATTGTCAAATGTCATTTTCCTCCAACTGTCTTGGGTGTGCAATTGCTGATAATTTTTTAATGGCCTCACAACAAACAGTTGCCAACAAAAGATCAATTATTTGGTTTTCTCCTCTGATTGATTTGAAATCCCTTAGCTTTTTTTATTATAGCTTTAGCCATGCTTTTGCATATTTATAATTATCCAGTGATAATTGTTCATTCAGTTCATTAGCTACAGGAAGTAGTATGCACTTAACTGCTTCATGGATAATAGCCATAGTTATTTATAGTCTTTGTGTCTTCATATGTAAATGAGTTACCTCAGCGGTATATCAACTTGTATGGTGTATGTGACTATGAAAATGCAAACTTTATGGTTAATTCAGGAGGAAAAAACATTAAGGAGAGAAAACAATAAAAGAACATGAATTAAGAAGTTAGAAGATAGTGATTGACATTGCATCTAAATGTTTGAAGATCAAATTTGACTGGAAAGCAAGAAGCTGAAAGAGAGTTACACAAGCGAGAAATGCAAAAGAGGAAACTCTTACCATAGAACCTGATATGTCCCGGAAAGGGATATATTTGATGGAAGTAGCTAAGTGGTTTTGGCTACTGTAACCAAGTAGTACATGGTAGCAGTAATCGACTGGTACTTGTCATAGTCGCAGGTAATAGGTGTAGACCAATAGGATAGCCAATGGTGTAGTCCAATAGGCGGCGTCATAGACTTAAACTCTGTCATACCTACACGTCCGTCTTTATTTATGACGGATACCAGCCAATCATATTCCAGTGAGGGGAAACTCAGGTGTATGCATATTCCATTATGTCAGAACCTAATTTTCATCAATGACATTCCTGATGGCATCAGTTCTGAACTCAATTTCTATATTGATGACACAGCTATTTACTCATTTCTCAATAATAAGTCTGATTTGGTTTTATAAGGTCAAATTGGCAGCTGATCTCAAAAATGACCTACAATCTGCAGTTAACTAGGGCAAGGAATGGCTTGTTAATTTTAACAATCCCAAAATGAAACTTTTCTATTAATCATTTGAAACTCTCCTTTCTGTCTTCTATCAGCATGTCTGATGCTATGACTTGTTATGCCTTTTCAGGCTAACATTCTCTGCTGATATAACATGGAAATATTATTTGAATCAATTCCTAGGTCTGCTGCTAAGAAAGTTAGTTCATGTGAGACAATTTTTCTCTCCAGGATCTATCTTACGTATTTATAAGTCTACCATTTGATCATGCTTTGAATATTGCTGCCATATATGGTCTACTGCTATATATATATATATATATGTATATATTTTCTTGATAAACTCCAAAGAAGAATCTGCATTCCTAACCTGGCATCTTGACTTTAGTCACTTTTCCTCTGCTATAATATAGCTTCCCTGTGCCTTTTCTATAAATACTTACACGGTAATTGTTATGATGAACTTTCCACTATGGTACGTAGACTTTATCAGTTTAAGCACAATACTAGTTGGTAGCTAGGTTTTCCTCATTTTACAGTTGAAATGGCTAGATGCGGCTGTAAGTTCTATGCTAACAGTTTCTTCTCTCGCACTTCTTGCTTGTGGAACTCTCTTCTGGCTTCATGATTTTCAGCCAACTCTGATATTTAAAAATTTAAATGCAGTTATGTCTTGTTTCCTCCTCTTTTATTGTTCCCACCCCTTAGTAATGTTTCTCTTTTTCTTATTCTTTCACACTCAGTAACCCCTTGTGTCTTTGTGGCTTTACTGCCTTGTTTGGTGTGAAATGAATAAAAAAAAAAAAAAAAAACTTACTCACTAGTCAACTGAACTATCTTCACTGACCATCATCCCACACTAATTGTTGGTTATTTGATTGATTTTACAATCCTTCTTGGATTATTTAATATTGAATTTTGTATGAGGATTGAAGTCAGTAGTCAATAGTAATTGTCAACAGTACTATCATCACTAACCATCACCATAGACTAATTATTGGTTGATTGATTTTATGGCATACCACTCTTCTTGGATTATTTAATGTCAAATTTTGTATGGGGCACCCAGAGAGGATGAAACTCATTACTCAGTAGTAATGGTTATCTATTCATTTATTTATTTAATGCCAAAATCTAAATATTTTGTATGTAATTTTATGCTTTCAACTACAGATACTTTGTACATAAATTTATACTTTCAGAGTAAAGTATATTTTTTTACATATATTTAGTTTGGCAATCATAAAATGTATAGTTGGTAATTTTACTATATAAATGTATTTTTATATTTTTTTTAGTATTGCATTGATTGTCATTTTGCTATAAAAATGTATTGTTACTTATTTTATTATAAAAATGTACTGCTGATTTTTGTTTGGGAGTTCACTATTTACCCATAGCTGGGACCCTAACAGGTGCTACCACCCCGGATCAGGGTGGGCCTGGGAACAACAACAGTTAAAAGCTGGTTCCATGCTCCTCAAAACATCCAATCTACCAATCAGAGGCTTTGCTGCAGAATGTACTTTATCGTCATACCCAGGACAATACTGTTAATTTTCAGAACATGTAAGAAACGTATTATAACAGAACTCACAGGATCTTAAATAAACTTATCATTTTATATAAGATCACCATTAAGAAATACATTTTTTTCTTTTTTTTATGAGCAAAGAATACAGTGCTTAATAATAATGAAAAAGTTTGTGCACAATAAAATTTTTGTTATACCTTTTGGATCTCTCAAGAAAATGGTTGGCTTGGTGCCACTGACGGAAACAGTTATCGACTGCAGCTTGGGGTCCACAGGTATTTTGAAGGCTGTGGTTTTTCCCTCAGTGTGATCAATAGACATCAAGTTTACTTTCCGAGCTTGAACTGCTACCCTCACAAAATTCAACACCTGGAAAAAAAATAAATTATAAATTTGTAAAACATGGATATTTAATTAAAAAGTACAGAATCTATTTAGCCAAACAGAAATTCAAATAATGACCAATAAAGAATTTTAATTCTCTTATTCAATGACCATAACTTAATTTTTGTTGTTAAAGTATACTATCAGACCCTGAACTGCCAGTCACAATGAACAAATGTCCCCTCAAGGAGACCCATTGCCTTGAAAGGATATTAGGCCTCAAACTCACACCCGACCTCAAATGAAGCTCTGATGCAAAAAAATCTTGCTAAAGATGCAGGTAAAATGTTTAGCTCTCTGTACTGCTCCAGTAAGTACCTGACTCCTCAAGCTATCCTCTACCTTTATAATAGCCAGATGAGGCTGAAAAATGGAGTATGGCTGCCATATTTGGGTGGGAGCTGCCCAGGCCTCACTTTCCTGTCTTGATAGACTTCAAAAGCATCTCCAAGTCCTTGTTGGAGAAGAATTATTTTCTACCCTCCAACTAGGCAGGATGTGGTGAGTCTCTCACTGCTATATCACTACTATCATGGAAAATGCTTAGATTAACTACATTTCTTGGTTCCACCAGGTCTAACCGTCATGGTTAGGACCTACCATGCCACTTATATAGTAGCAAACCACCCACATCCCATCGGTGAGAAGTAAGTTCCACTCAAACAGCTTTTTCCCGTGAACCACTGCCCTGTAGAACAAACTCTCAAGAGGATGTTTCCCCAATCACTACAATCTTAACCTGTTCAAGTCTTGAGTTAACTGTTTTCTTCCCCTCCTATCAATATAAACTACCCCTTAATATAACACTCTACTTTGAGTGGCCCCTGGGCCTTGTACAGAATGAACCTTACTGTAAATAAAAAAAAATAAAAACTCACACCTTTTACTTGCTAACTCATTATATATCCAACTAGTTCAAAGATACAGCTAGAATTTCTAGGACACATAATGAGGAAAGAGGGCTTGGAGAATTTGATACTCACAGGACATATTGAAGGTGAGTGAAACAGAAGGAAACTGAGTAACCTCCCTAATGAGCTTGTGTAAATGGATGGAAGAACAAAGAGTGGGAGGGATAGTAAGGGGTCAAACATTTCTTAGAGATATGAAGGAAAGGAATTTGTGGAGAGCTAGGATCGCCCATGTCCTGAAAAGATACAACATATAAAAGAAGCTACTTCTAGAACATCCTATCCTATGTTCAATTTCCTATACTAAATTTGTTACAACTGATCTATGCACTGATGTAAAGTTTTGGTCATTTGCTGAACCCCAAATACTCTGTGATTCCATGAACTCGCTATATTTAGGTTTTTTTAGTGCTTAGCCAATCATCATAATAACAATTATTATCATTATAGGTACTTGAAACAGGAATTACTGTCTACTTATGTTACATATATCATTTTCACATGGAAATGTCTTTCATTTAAAATAAAGATTAGAAGACTTGAGACTAATAATGAGTAATACCAACAGTGTTCATCATGTTGTATGGTTCACTCACATCACTGCTATAAATATTTCCTATTGAAATGGAATGAAGGTTTTATTTGCCATCAAATATGGTACTTGTATCCTTTGAAAATTTGTATTTTTTCTCTATTATCATATCGATATGTAACTAACTATTGTTAAATATTCCATCTATATTTTCTTTAATTTATAAAATTTACCAGTGTCACTTTATTTTACAACTCTGCTTTTTCATGGTTTCAACTTTACACAGATTATTTTTGTTATATTTTCAACAGTTTTAAAATGTCTCATCAGAATATGATGCTCCACTTTTATAAAGACAACACACTAAATAGAGAACCAAATGGTAAGTATTTAAATAAAATAATAGTTTGTTTTTTTTGTTTGTTTTTTTTAATTACTTAAAAATGATTATTTTTATGCAGATTTTTATAAATGCTTATTGGGAATATGAGGCCAGATTTGAAAAAAGCAACACTCCCAACTAAGAAACAAAAATTGATGAGTACAGAAATAGAATTTTTTTTTATTACTTAAAAATAATTGTTTTTATATATATTTTTATAAATGCTTATTCAGAATATGAGGCCAGATTTTTAAAAAAGCAACATTCCCAACTAAGGAAAATAATGATGAGTACTGAAATAGAAAATTTTTTTTTTAATTATTTAGAAATGATTATTTTTATGTATATTTTTATAAATGCTTATTCAGAATATGAGGCCACACTTTAAAGAAAAGCAATATTCCCAACTAAGGAACAAAAACTGATGAGTACTGAAATAGAAATTTGTTTTTTTTTTTAATTACTTAAAAATGATTATTTCTATGTATATTTTTATGGGAAAAATCTTATGACAAAGTGGTAAAGTTTTTGACATGTTTTATCCTTACAACTTCATTAAACTAATTTTTTTTTCATTGATGTGACTACACATGCAAATGAATGAGAGAGACAATGGGAATTTTAAATTTAAAGATGATTTTTTAAAATTTTATATATGTTTTTGGTTATATAATCTAGCTGATTTTATTTAGATTTCTTTTCTTTTTGTTTGTATTGCCATCATTTGTTATTAAATATCCCACATTGTGATAATAGAAGATCTGCCAAAAATGGTGAAATGTATTAAGAACCTAGGCACAAATTCAAATTAACTGTGGATGAACTTGTGTTTAAAGCACTTTCTAAAAAATTTTGTGGCTGAATTTTTTTCTCTTTTAATTAGAATAGCAAAATCAAAATTGTGGTCAGTGGTATATCATACTTATTATAAAACCCAGGTTGTGTGTGTGTGTCTGTACGTTTATATATTGGATCGGATTTCCTACATTTTTCAACCGATTTCAACAAAACTTCACAGGACTATGTAAAATTACCTTGTGGTGGTTCTGACAGCGCTAAAAATTGGAATAACACAATTGTTTTTGCATGAAATCAATTTGAAAACACGATTAAGAGGCATCGCGAAAATGAAAGTGGGACAACTCATATCGAGTTATACTTATTATAAGACCCAGGTTGTTTGTGTGTGTGTTGTGTGTGTGTGTGTGTTCATTTATATATGGGATTGGATTTCCTACATTTTTCAACCGATTTCAACAAAACTTCACTTTTTTTTGGCCGATAGTGTTTCTTATTGTCTTGCACACTTTTTTCTTTATTTTTACATTCAGAATGCTTTAAAAATTTCATTTACAAGACAATTGTTTATGATAAAATTCTATTCAATCGATAGACTCATAACAATTGAAAACAATGTTTTTCTTTGAGTTTGAGTTTGACCAATTTGTAAAAAAAAAAAAAAAAAAAAAAAATACTAATTAAGACATGCGTGTCCGTCAACCTTAAACAATAATCTTTGTCAATTTTATTTTTCAGTCTTTATGATGGTCGATACTTGATCTATTTCTTACTGTTACATCCCCGTGCAACGCCGGGCTCTACTGCTAGTTTTTTATAAATGCTTATTCAGAATATGTGGCCTGATAAAAAAGAAAGCAACATTCCCAGCTGTGGAACAAAAATTGATGAGTACTAAAGTAGGAATATAGGCATGTTTTGACAATGAACTGCATGTAAAGAGTTACTGCTCCAATTAAAAAAAAAAATTGGTGTTAGGTGTCAGCAGTAGAAATAGTATTGGTAAGTAGAAAGCATCTGGTTTTTAAAACAGCATTGATACTGTCTGTAGGTGGAGAGTCTCAGCTTTCTTTGACAAAAGAATCAAATTACAAAGTCAATGTCAGAAAGGAAGCATTCTAATGATTATTTTCTATAGTGCAATATAAAAAAGAAGCAAACATTGAGATTTGGTATTGAGAATAAATCTTCAAACAGATACCATGTATAATGAAATTTTTTAATAAACATTGATAACAAGAATATTACATAATAATAATTTATAACACCAATAATAATAATACATATTAATAGTTTGTATTCATATATATTAACTCTAACATTTGTTATAACATAAGTAAAGCTTAAAAATGTTTGAATCTTGTGTAATGTTTTTTTTAATCATTTCACAAGATGATAAAGTCACTAAGATGCAAATGGTTAAGGAGAGTGAAAGAAAATGGGAAAATATAATTGAGGATACAAAAGAACAAGATTCAAGTAGACAGAAGACAGTAGATGACAATTGATGTGCATTGAAATTTTTGAAGATCATAGTTGACAGGAAAGCAAGAAGGCAGAAGAGATTTCCACAGGTGAGAAGTGTGAGAGAAGAAACTACTAGAATAAAACTTATTGTTGCATATACCAATTTCAACAGTTAAATGGTGAAACCTAGCTGCCAGTCTAGTACTGCATTTAAATTTGTAAAGTCAAGGTACCAATGAAAAACGCAATCTTTATTTTGAAAAAGACAAAAATGTGGCACAAGGCCAAAAAGAGAGGATAGAGAAAGGCTGGTCTTCAATCTGTCTTCTTAAAATTAGCTAGACATGATTACTGACCAAAACATACCACAGTACTCCTCACCAAAACAACACATTCTTACCATTCTCACTACAGCTACTATAATGTCTCAAAGTCTCTATGTAGTCCTAACTAGTTCCCATATGTGAAAAGAAGAAAATAATATTTTTGTTTTAATACAAAAATACGGCACAAGGCCAAAAAGCAGGGATAGGAGAAAGCCGGTCTTCAATCTGTCTTATATAAACTTAGCTAAACACAGTTACTGACCCAAACATACCACAGTATTCCTTACACCAAAACAACATATTCTTACTACAGCCACCATAATATCGCAAAGTCTCAATGTAGTCCTAACTAGTTCCCATATGTACAAATTGTCTGCAGGAGGTGGTGGGGAATAAAATAACAAAGAGGAAAGCTCATAAGAACAATTGCCATGAAAATATTTATAAAAAAAAAGCACAGATAAGTGACATTATGTTACATTGCATCTTAACATTTAAAACCAAAAGTTTGAATAAATCATTTGTAATGTAAGGACCACTTCTCATTGGACCTTGTCTAAGTGCCTTAATCTTATCAGTTGTCACTCAGTTAAACAAAGTGTATGAAATTTAAAACAAAATTTGGAAGAGAGATTAAAGTTACATTCTGTTTATTGCTGATGTATAAATAGTTGCAATAAATTATAAGTGTTAAGGATGTGAACAGGTACATGTCTTTATGCCAACATAAGTCATGATTTCAAATGTCAAGAACCTCAAGACTATAAAGATTCTCAACTCCATTTTATTATGAATACTTTTACCCACTAATATACTGACAATTCTCTTATGAGGAATGATTTTTTTTTAATCAATTTACCCCAAGCAAGGCGATAATGCCACTAAGACACACACAGCTACTAGAAAAGAAAGAAAAGACTATAAAAGTAACCAGAAACCCAATCCTAAACAGGAAACAAGGGATAAACCTCTACTCCTGTTCAAAAGGTTGGGGAGGAATTTGAAGCAGACATGATAGCTCATTCACTGGTTAAAAATTAAATAATTCATTACATTGTTAGTGCTAATTGGTATTACTCACTACTCTTGATATTGACAAAAGCATTAATATGAAACCAAATTGAGATAGTAAAAATATCTGCCTGCTTTGAAAATCAGCATTCAAAATCATGGTTTTTATCTGGGTTCAACTACCAACAATCAGGATCTATGGAACAATTATTTAACATATCAAGCAGGCGGTAAATGTTTACAGACATATGGTCTTCCAGCAGTCACCCTCTTGACCCAGGGCAGCACTACCTCCTCAGGGCACTTGATGTAGGCCTCTGTGTTGAGTCTGAATCCCTGTGGGAAGAGGAATGGAAGCATAATTTTGCCATTATGGGTACAGTATGCTGTTTCCAAATTTTTGGTGGAGTGAATTGTGTCATGGTGCTCTTTTTCTCAGACAATGCCAAACTGACCCTACTATACTGTGCATTCAATAAAATCAAAAACAAACAATGCACATCTGTGAAATTAAAAATATAAAATGGCAACAATTTACCCTTTGTACCCTCTCTGTGTGTATGTATGTATATATGTGTGTATGTATATATATATATATATATATATATAAATTTTTTTTCAGCTGATAAAATCCTAACAAGTTTTGTTTCATAAACAATAATTACCAGTGTTGGTAAAATTTTAAGGATATGTTTATTTTTATAAATATTATAAACTGAAATTTATGTGGTTTATAATATTTATTACAATAATTTAATAATAAAAATGTTGTCCTTGATATGATGATAAACTACATCCGACAGCAAGGCCTCTGATCGGGAGATTGGAGGTTTTAAGGAGCGTGATACCACTTCTTAACTGCTGTTGTTCACAGGTCCATCCTGAAACTGTTAGGGTCCCAGTTATGTGCAAATAGTGACCCAGCCTGCCCTCCCCCAAAAAATCAATAGGTCATTTTTATAGTAAAACGACAATCAATGCAATACTAAACAGTATAAAAATATAAGCAATACATTTTTGCAGTGAAATTACCAACAACACATTTTATGATCTACAAACTATATATCTAAAAAAAAAAAACTACTTTTTACCCTGAAAGTATAGAATTATGTACAAGATATTTAGATTTTAGCATTAAATAACTCATACAAGTTGATATGCTACTAAACAAAATCAACCAACATAATAATAAAAATAACTTAATAATAAAAGTTAAAGAAGGAAACCCTCATCAATAGTTGAAAGTTACTGTACTTGAGAAACCTATTTTCTTGAAAAATTGTTTTAGCAGAAATATTTTATAAATTTCAACCAATGGTAGCAATGGCTGCTTGGTCAATGAATGCCAAATGCTTCCTAATGGCTAATATGACAATTGCCATTAGAAATTTAAGATGGATTAACAAAAGTATTTCTTTGAAGGATTTTTTAATTTCACTATCTCTGGGAAGTAATTGCTATTTAATAAGAAACTAGTGTTCTTCTGTCAAGGGTGAACTATAAAATCATCCTGGTTGAATTAACAGTACCATATGAATGCCAGATGGAACAAAGCTACGATTATAAAACTAATAAATATGAAAATCTAAAATCAGAGCTAATAAAGGAGGGGTATAATGCAATTGTTAGAACAGTGGAAATTGGAGCAAGGGGTTTCATTTCAGGCACTCTGTACCAATTTCTGGGCCAAATTGGAATCAAAGGGCGTAATAGGACCAAAAGTATAAAACACCTAATAGAAGTAACTGAGAATAGTTCTATGTGGATACGGAAAAAAACAAAATACTCCATGGAGTATTTCAGCGAACATGATGGCATGACATGACTGATCGTGAATGCATAATGAGGTTCACATTGCATTCTCAGAATGCCAGGTTGCCGTTTTTCGGAATTTTCATAAATTTAATTTTGCCGTTAGACATTTGAACTAGTTTATCTACAACACTTGTATATCGTTATAATGGGGCCTCACATCAGTGAGGGGGGGGGCGGTGTGCAACTGAAACTGTTGAGAAGAAGGCCCCGAAACGGTGCACATTCTCTCCTGATGACCCCAGTTTAAATATAAATTCGAGAGGAACACATCAAAATTCAGTGAAGTCATATGCTGTAGAGAAGCTTGGTGGAAGTGTCATTGGCATGAGGAGCAGTACACATTCAGCTCGCTTCAGGTGAATTTCAATTACTTTCCTGTAATTTCCTTCTTCTAGTGATAACATAAAACAGATTTGTAAGTAAAGTATGTACCATGATATGAGACTCACTAATAACAGATGATTTAATCTCACAAATAAATTGCTGTCATATATATTTTATTGTGCTGAAGAGACTAAGGTAAAAAGAGTAAATGAAAACTGGAAGGAGTTCTCTGTCTACTAAATACTGATGCACATTAACAAGGAAAATAGTTAATCTTTTATGATCATGATCCATTATAAAACTCTGAAAAATGTACATTATATCAGATTTTATTATGCAAGTCAATCTTTTGTTATTAACCAACCAATATGTAATCCTTTTTTCATACACAAATACGTATTTAAAAAATAAAGGAATCAAATTACTCAAGTTTTGTAGTGTAGCATTTCATTATGTCAGATTTTATTATGCAAGTCAATCTTTTCATAATAAAATTTGTATTAACCAACCAATGTTGGTAAAATTTCTAGAATATATTTGTATGATAAATATTATCATTATTTCAACTTATTTGATTTTATTAGAAATATTTACAGTTTTTAATCTTTCTATTACAATAATTGATCAGGAATCAGTTTCTCAAGTCCATTGTTATAGTTCTTTCCAGTATTTAAAGAGGCTTTCTTCCTAACCGTTTGTTTGAAGTAGAGTGGAACATCAACATCTTTATTATATCATTAGTTTATCTTCAAGTTACATTTGCTATCCATTTTAGTTGTTGCCGTTGAATGTCCTCAGTTGAGGTTGTTTCTCTTATCTGGTCCAGTTCTTTGTAATTTTCTGGTGCCAGTCCATGAGATTCAACTAGGACGGTCCTTGCTAAAATCTACAAAGCTTCATTCGCTTAAAGCCATCATTAACCATCAATCTTAGAAAGTGATTGTATACAACTAACAGTTTAGATATATTTGAATGAGTTTGATGCCATGCATGACATCTGTATGAAAGTCTCAATCTGGTGAGGTTATTTAAAAACATGACTAGAGTTTTTAGGTTAATGTTTTGGCTTTGTAGCAGCTTGCTGTGTTGGGTGAAACTACACATACTGCAGCCTATTGAATGCACAGCAAAACAAAGGAAAGCTAGACAAACCTGATTCACTTGGGATTTCTTTAGAAGGAATACTTGTCCAGAACTTGTTGAAGCAATTTCTTCATAAGCTCGATAACCTTGATGAGTTACATCCCCACAATCTCCAGTCATCACAAAGACAACCTGAAAAGTAAAAACAAATATAATGAACAAAGGAATCTTGAAATAGACATTGAACCTTATTTTTAATTCCTGGAAAACAAGAGAAGTATTTTACATGTTTATTATGAAATAATAATAATGAATTGTATAGGATATTTTTATTTTGCATGCATTTTATCTTGAACATTGTGTTTTTGTCATTGTTACCATTTTATTCAGCTGTTCTAAAATAGAACATTCATTTGATAACCTTCTGCAAGCCAAAATGTTATTGCAATATTTAGTTAAAGCTCAAATATTTAATGATGTAGTAACAGAATTTCTACAGATATTTTATTATCATAGAACTCACCATAAGCTTATTCAATCATTAACTGAAGAATTAAGATTCATCAGAAAATTCAAATAGGAAAACCATGAAATTTCTAGTGTAACATTATTTTGGATTGAAAGCTACAAAATATTCTTGACCTAAGAGATAAATCTATAGAGAATCAATAAATCAAAAATACACAGCCTGACATGTAATTATCATTAATTGAATTTTGGCCTGAAACTTTCATTGTATAATATTCCACTCCGTGTGAAGAGAAGTTATGAGTTAAGTGCATTCACAAAGGAGATTGTTTAAAAATAAAGAATTCTTTGGCAAAATAAATACTTTGTACTTACTGACATACCAACATGTAAATAATATATGTAAATATATAAATTTTTATAGAAACAATTTTGGAGAAAAGATGCATGACAAAAGTGGAAAAATATTTTCATATAATGCATTTCATCCTTTAGAACTTCATTGGACTGAATTTGATTATTCATGTATTTATGAGGATTGGGACATATCTCTTAGTGCTCATAGGTATGGTATATAACAGTTAATATCTATCTATCTCATTCTGTTAATATTGTAACCTAGAAAGAGTTACTGAATGCGAAATAACCAAAATGTAAGTTGGAAATGAAATGGTAATCTTTATAACATCAACAAAATACAATACTCACCAGTGGCGTAAAATAGGTAAACCACTGCTAGTGGTGGATTACTTAGACAGCATATTACCCCCATTTACAATAGTGTCCAACATATTTATGAGTATTGGGACATACCCATTAGTGTTCATGGGTACAGTATATAACAATTCCTAAGCAAATTCAGTCTGATAAAGTCCTAAAGGACGAAATACATTACATAAAAACTTTTTCCGCTTTGTCATATATACATGTGTATGTGTGTGGTAATGTAATGGTTGGTAGAACAGAAAGTGTTATTGGCATTTCTTTTTTTTCAAATCATTTCACTTCAAGCAAGTTGATAAAGCCACTAAGACGCAATGGTTTACTGAGAGTAAAAGAAACTGAGAAAACATTGAGGCAAGAGAGGATGTTATGAGACCAGGATCCAAGCACACAGAAAATGATTATTAATGTTGCATTTAAATTTTTGAAGATCGTAGTTGACAGGAAGGCAAGAATCTGGAAGAGCATGATTAGTTAAAATCCTAAGTCTTTTTTGTTCACTTTGCACTAAAAGTCATTGGAAAAAGCATAAATCTATTTTCCTTCAGCTATGGCTTAAATAGCAGGGTAAACTTCAGTATTTTGTCTTGGTAGGACAATCAATATAGGAGGAGGACAACTCTGAATTCAACAGTCTGTCTGTGGATGACACTATATATATCAGGTCATCCCATAAGTTCTGTTCGAATTTTACCTTTTTTTAAAATGAATGAAATTTAAAGAGTATTTTATAATGTCTAATGGAGCTGAACATTATTTTTATGTTTAGATGCATTTAAACTGATCAAATTTTATTTCAGAGAACAATAAAATTAAATTTTGTTTGATTAAAACCCTGCTAACATGGAAGTACCCAAGAATCATTTGAGGCATATAATGCTTTATGAGTTCAAGAAAGGAAACTCAGCAGACGAAGCGGCTAGAAACATTCACTCAGTTTATGGAGAGGAATGTGTGAATGAAAGAACTTGCAGAAGATGGTTTGCAAAATTCAGAGGTGGAGATTTCACCCTTGAAGATGAAGATCGAACCGGATGTCCAGTTGAGTTTGATGAAAAGCTTTTTTGAAGCAACCCTTGAAGAAAATCCTGTTTTATCAGTTGAGGAATTGGCAGTGGTTCTCCGTTCAAACCATACAACTGTTCATCGTCATCTTGAACAACTTGGAAAAGTTCCTAAACTTGGAAAATGGGTGCCCATGAATTGTCTGAAAACAACCTCAAATCGAAGTTGACATCTGCTTTTTCTCCATTCTACCAAACTTGTTTCACCTTTTTCGGATAGATTTGTGACTGGTGACGAAAAATGGATCTTTTATCAAAATGTTAAGCCTCATAGACAGTGGCTGGGTAAAGGGGAAGGACCCCAGCCCCAGCCGAGAAAGGAACTTCATGGGCAAAAGGTTCTTCTTTCAATCTGGTGGGATCGCCAAGGAATAATCCACTTTGAATTCTTACCACCTAATGCAACAATTAATGCTCAAATATGCTGTCAGCAATTAGAGCATTTGAAGCAAGCTTTGAGGAAAAAAAAAGACCTGCTCTAGTGAATCAAAAGAGGTGATGTTTCATCAGGACAACAAAGGACCCCCACACAGCAAGAATCACGTCAAAAAAAGATCAAGAACTTAGTTGGGAGAAAATTCCTCACACACCTTATTCTCCCAATCTTGTTCCTTCAGACTACCATTTGTTTTGTAGCTACAGAATCATTTGGAAGAAACAGCTTTTGTAACACAGGAAGAGGTTAAACTGACATTTGTGAGTTCTTCAATCAAAGGCAAAAAGAATTTTATAGTAATGGAACTAGTAAGCTTGTTAATAGATGGAAGGAAGTCATAGATAATCGGGGAAATACTTTGTTGATTGAATCTGTAATTAAATGTAACATTTGGTCACTTGTTTTCTTTATTCAAAATTCAGACAGAACTTATAGGATGTCCTGATGTGTGTGTATATATATATATATATATATATATATTGGCATCAAGTATTCTTCATCCAAACAAGTTTGATTAAAAAGAATTGACAAGGTCTATCTATTTAATTTTTATTATACTTTTCTAACTTTTGGATAAGGTGTTGAGTATTATGTTCAAAGTTGTGGATAAACCGTTTGACGTTCATATTAAGTTATTGTTGTTCAAGTACTTTCAACTTTCCAGTCATTATCAAGCATCAAAATGAATGCCAAAATGCAGACAAGTAGTTAAAATTGCCATACAGACACCCCATCACTTCTTGATAATGACAGGAAAGTCAAAAGTACTTGAACAAAATATGAACTTCAGGCAGTTTATTCACAACTTTGGACATATAACTCAACAACTTCTCCAAAAGTTGGAACAGTATAATAAAAAAAAAGATAGACTTTGTCAGATGTTTTTAATCAAACTTAGTTGTGTGTACATATATATATATATATATATATGATATATATATAAAATGTGGCCAAATGGTTAGAACATTCACTTTCTGACCATGAGACCCAGTTTTGAATCTCACCATGGTCAGTTTGTCAGGGAGGAGATTTCCTTATGTTATTGGAATGGATTGAGGTTGACCACAGCATGCAGCACCTTTTGAAAGTGCCTGAAAACCACACAACAGGTTGACCCAAGCCTTGTAAGTGAAACTGGGTAGACAGAATACTTGGGGGAACTGTCAATAGCTGTGCTAGCACAGTCACAAATTATCATGATCAAGAGTTTGAGCATGCTGGCTTTGTTCAGATTGTTGATCATGCTAGATAACATGTTCTCTCCCAGAAACTGTAACTAAGGTCTGCTCAGCATAGTTGTGGCTCTGTGAGTGTTGAATAAATACAAATGCGTCTGAGCAAGCATCTGCAATAGGGACTGGCTAGCCAACTTAGTTGACTGGTATCCTCAAATACAAGTGGCCAGCTATTATATATATATATATATATATATATATATATATATAATCCTTTCCTCTAGCTCACATTTTCTCATTTCCTTTTTCTCTCATTTTAGTGGCATTATCACCTGGCTTGGGGTGAAATAATTTAAAAAATATATGTATGAGGATGGATAAATAAATCTGTAACATTACTCATATTTTTGCTTTGAAAATATCACTGTATATTTAATATATATGATTAATAAAAGTGTTTGGTTAAGTGGGTTGAAAAAGGATATTATATTGAAAAATATTTATCACCTAAAAGAAAAAAATGCTTCATTCATGATTAGGCTACAGACTTATTGATATACTTATATATTTACTACTTTGTTATTCATTCTTTATTGACAGACCAGTTAAGCTGAATTTAGTGCTACCACCATCCGACAGCTGTCAGCTATGTAGATAAAAGAAATAAAGTTATGAAAGAGATAAGAAAAATAATTAAAAAGCAATATCAAGCTACTGGAAACTGTTTTGAGTTGATAAATGTCAAGAAAAGCAGTGTGTCAGTCAGTGATAGAAATTTAGTAGAAGTAGTAATGGCAGAAGGTAGTCAAAGAGTCGAGGGTTTTGAACAGTTGTAACAAAAATCCTGCCTTCTTCTGTCTTCATCACTGTGATTCATTAGAAAATACTAAAGAAGTAAACAAACAGGTGAATCTGATAAGTCATTCTCATTACTAGTCGGCTGAACTTTTGTGATTATAACACTTGCTCTACTCTCTTTCGTCAGTTCCGGTTCTTGCTGAAGTCAGGCTAAGGTCAAAGCACAGAATCAAACAGAGAACTATCGTTTTTCACTGAGTTTCACAATAGCAAAATCCACCAAGAACTCAGATATTTTCTAAATTTAGAGCTCTACATCATAAATTAACGTCAGTTCTGCATCTTGTTCATGCTTTTTCTTCTGTACATAACAAATAATGAAGTCTTCCAGTGAATGCCTCAATTTAAGAGGTTTTATATACACTATTAATTTTAAGTAGTAAGCTATTTTTACCATTCGCAATGACAAATAACCCTAAACTAGTGACTTTGATGACATATGTACTTTTCATGCCAAATGTTTAATTT